TGCGTCAAGTGACTTCCCCTGGCAGCATGCCAGCGTACCTGGAGCCATCAAGCTTCGACCCAGCGCCCCTCCTCACGAAAACAAACCTGATAAACCATCCCATGTTTGGGGCTCGGGCTCCATGTCCCACACGTTAGAGACAAACTCCGGTGGCGCTGGTGGTTCTTGTAATTTTGGCCCGTACCCCAAAATCAGCTGAAAACTGGGTACACATCGGATGCGATGCCGTTTTTGGGGGGAAGGGGCCTGTTGGGCTGTTGGGGGGGCATTTTTCTTGGGGTTGCCTTCAAGGGATCAGGCAATCCCTCTGCGCAAGCCGCAGGCGCATCCTGGGCCCACACCGGCCCCCTCCGCCCAGGCGGCGCTGCGTACGCCTGCAACCAAAAAATAAAAGAATTCTGCGGCTGGCTCCATGTAAGGGGTTTTGGGGTTTTGGGGTTTTGGGGTTTTGGGGTTTTGGGGTTTTGGGGTTTTGGGGTTTTGGGGTTTTGGGGTTTTGGGGTTTTGGGGTTTTGGGGTTTTGGGGTTTTGGGGTTTTGGGGAAGTAGACAGGAGAGTAGTAAGTTAGAAACATGGTTGTGACTGGTGCAAACTGGGGTTGCAAACATAGTTGTCACTGTCACATGTACCACATATGATAGAAGCAAGCTCTATCTGCCCCGTAGTTGGTAGTTCGGAGTTGTCCCCAACCACCAATCCAAACTGCCCATTATATAAGGGCTTACTACCATGTGCCCAACCGGAACTCCTGGTAGCTCCCAAAGGCTCCCGCTTCCAAAAGCAAATTGGATACCCGCAGCTTCGGGCCCCCTTCCAACCACCAGCTAGTTTATGGGGTCCCCAAGGTAGAATGCCCCCCCCCCCAAAAAAAAAAAACACCAAAAAGGGAAAGAGACACCAGTCTACAGCTGGGCGAAAGCATCATTCACTTACCCACATAAAGGGGACAGTGATATCTACTTTCACCCCATGCACAACCATCAAATAGGAAGCATGTCAAAAAGCTTGTTGGTACATATGTATATATACACACCAATGTACCATAAAGTGATATTGCAACAGGTTACACACGAACCAGTACACCACATTTGATGGCTGGCTGTTGCATCCTAATATACGACAACACTTTAAGGGTTTACCTTACACATGACCATGTATGTATATACAACCAATCACCTTGGTGATACAGAAGCACACATGTACGTATTCGTATAGGTTTATGCATACATATTTACATCGAATGATGTACTTCAATATACGCACACGTGTAATTTCTACCTACGTCCCAGATCTCCAGTGGTGCGCTTTTTTCCTTGGAAGCCTGGGTAGTTGTGAGCATAGTTGGGCGTTTCGTTGGTTGCCACCCCTGCGGAAGGTAGGATCCAAACAAAGTCGTGGTTTTGACCGGTCCGGGCGATGCCCGTGGAAAGCCAAGCACGTTCTCACAAACTGGCCGTGTCAACATGTCCCAACTTTCGGCCAACCCCGGAAAGGTCTTCAAGCTTCAAGCCCAAGCCTCTCAGGTAGCAGATTTGAACCCATGGTTCTAGAGGAATGTGAAACCACCCCAAAACACCTCCAATTATCACAGACTTTTGCTAACATTCCCACCCGTCCTACGCAACGGAACTAAAAAACAGGCTCTCATGGCCCCCCACTCCTCTCCAGTCGTCTGAACCCGCCACAAAACAAAAGCAAACAACACAAGTGCTCGTCGCCTGGACAGATCAACTCATCCAGGAAACACACAAAGCGCCTTGCCCAAGAACCTTCAACCCCCCCCACAACCCCCCCCAAAAAAAAAACAAAAAACTCCTCCCCCCAAAAAAAATACACCAGCGTAGACCCCAGATAGCAAAAAACAGGCGAAGGATTGCGCACCAACACCTCTAACAGCACCCCCGGACGCCCACACTCCTCCAACAGCACCCAAAGCTGCATGCCCCCAAACACCCTGCCATCAATCTTGCAAAAACGCCACACCCCAAAACAGCACCTGCACCAGCACCCCAAACTGCACCAAGCAGCAACCCCAAACAGCAATTTCCTGCACCCTGCTGTCAATCTCGTAAAAGTGCGCCCGCACCGTCACCAGCACTCCCAAAACAGCACCAGAACCAGCACCCCAAACTGCCCAAAAGCACCCGGTCAATCTTGCAAAACTGTGCCCGCACCGTCACCTGCACCACAAACAGCTCCCCAAACAGCACACCCTAACAACATGTGCACCACCAGCTGCACGCCCCCTAGCACCCAGCCGTCAATCTCGCAAATCACTTTCCCCTCTTTATTAGAAGTTAGAACCCCTAGAGCTTTCAGCTATCTGGGAAAAAAAATACACCAGCATAGACCCCAGATAGCACACCACGGCTACGAACCATGACGCAGCATTATCATGATGATGTAGACAGCACCATGATGATACCACAGCCGCTGAGCATGGTGCGCTACAAACGCGCATACAACGTCCTAATGAGTTTAGCAGCATACTGATGATGTTGAGAGCATCATGCTGATACAGTTCTGATGAGTTCGACAGCATCATGATGACGCGGACAGCATCATCATGATGCGGACAGCATCATGGTGATGCAAACAGCATCATGCTGATGGTAAAGGCAGCATCATGATGATACAGCCACGAACCATCTTGCGACAGCGTATCAGCATCATCCTGATGTTGACAGCATCACGGCGCCACTACAACCACAAACCATAACGCAGCATCGCAGTGACCCCAGTTGTATCATGACGAACATCATGACATACACCAGCCACGAACCGTTCGCGCGCGAACAGCATCCACCAGCACCCCAAACTGCGTGCCCCTCCACCAGCACCCCAAACTGCATGCCCCCTAGCACCCGGCCGTCAAGCTCGCAAAGCAGCATCCACCAGCACCCCAAACTGCATGCCCCTTAGCACCCGGCCGTCAAGCTCGCAAAGCAGCATCCACCAGCACCCCAAACTGCATGCCCCTTAGCACTCGGCCGTCCAGCTCGCAAAGCAGCATCCACCAGCACCCCCAAATTGCATGCCCCCTAACACCCGGCCGTCAAGCTTGGAAAGCAGCATCCACCAGCACCCCAAACTGCATGCCCCCTAGCACCCGGCCCTCAATCTCGAAAATCACTTTCCACTCTTTATTAGAAGTTAGAACCCCTATAGCTTTCAGCTATCTGGGGAAAAAACGACTCCTTCCTCAGAAAACAACTCCTTCCTGAAAAAACCTACCCCGAAACTACTCCCACCGCCCCCCCCCGCCCCCCGCCTCCGCCCGCCGCAGCGGCTGGAGCCTCTTGCTGCCGCCTCCGGAACTTCGCCTCGGGCCTCGGTTTCGGAGGTCCTTCGCCGTGGTGACACGACGGGGGCTCGTCATTTCGCTTGGGGAGCCCCGCAATGGCGATATATATATATATATTATATTTTTGCAGCCTCAGAAGATGGAGCCCGAAAGATCGACCTTTCCTGGCATCGCAACAGGAAAGGTGGTACTCCATCGCTGCTGGAACCATTGAGATCCCAACTGGCCGTGGATGGGAGGGTAAGCGGCAACAAGAAATTCCGACTTTGGACCGATCTCAAGAAGTAAGGAGGTCAGAGGGGAACGTTCTCAACCCCTTCAAGGCTTGAAGGAGTCTACGGCGCCCCCGTTTTGCTCCACCCCCTCAGGAGAACAGGCTTGCCTTGGGTGCAAACAGATGAATTCGGTGGGGCACAGCTGAACATGACGAGCTCATAGGAAGTGGCTCAACATGATTTAAAAAAAATATGTAAATAACAAACTTTGGACAGGAGTTTAAAAGGAAACCAACCAATTTCAGCGCAAGCTGTATATTAAAGCCCCTCAAAGGGGTCCGCTGAGACTTGGCAAGTTTGGAGCTTTCCCTGAACCTGTAACCCCAAGACAGGCTACCTCACTTCACCTGGTTTATGTGCCCAACAATATTGGGCGTGGTTGGACCTCTATTTCACCTCTTGGTTGGCCCCAAAACAAGCACGGTTTTAGGACCTCCATTTCACTTGGTTCCTGGGCCCAAGAACAGATCAGGTCCTTTGGCCTGAATTTTTCACCAGGCTTAGGGGGGGGGGGGTGGTCTTTTGACCGGGCCCATTTTGGGCGTCTCATTTTTCGGAATCGACCCCCCAAAATGAATTCGTTTTTTTTGCTTCCCTGTAAAACCACAAAACTAAAGAGTACGAACTCTGTGGTTTCAAAGGGAAGCCCAAAAGAAACCATTCCAGGGAGAAGCATGCCCCGAGTAATAAACTGGGGTTGATTTTTTGGGGAACAACATTATTCTCCAAGCCAGACACTCGACACAAAGGTGTTGCAATTCAGTACGCCTGCCGCTGTTCAAAAGTGGGACTGTCCTTTTTTGGAGTTGGTACCCATTTTAGGTCACAATCTCCATGTCCAATGACCTCAAGCGGAAGGCCAATGAACGCGGCGGCGAACTGGTCCGAGCGAAATCGCCCCTCGCTAAGCTTGTTGCTCGCGACAAGCACTGAGCTAAAAAAACAGGAACAGCGAAATCCGTGTTTGGGGGTCCGAATCCTTCAAAAGAACACACACACACACACATGGCCCAGGAAGAGCAAGGCTTTCCGCCGAATCGACCCCATCGACCGAATCGCTCTGTCTGGGGTCTCGGGCCTTATGGCCGTGTTATAGTGGTGCTGCCAGGCCGCAACTTGCACACCTCGCCCGGGGTGGGTGGAAGACGTGGCCGCAGAACCCGACTAAACCCACCCGAAGGACACCTAAAAGGGCAACTCAGCCACCGATCCAGTGGATTGGCCAACAAAAGTCCCAACTATGTCTAAACGACTGTAAACTGGTTGTCCCATAAAGTTTGAAGTCCGCGAATCGAGCGAGGTAAAGCAGGGTCTTTCCACCAACAACCCGGTTTTACCGGGTCTTTGGAAGGTTTGGGATGATCAAAACCATTGCGGTCTTGCTTTGTCAAATGCAAAGACCCCCGAGTTTCCCTCCAACAAAAGGCTTCGAACCCCGCCCCCCTCCCTCGGTCAAGACTCGGAACTTATGCGATTGGACCATTCGGAAATAGGGGAGCCCAAAAGCAAGCGCTTTCCCGAACAACGGATACCCTCAGGCACACCCAATGTCTTCTCCACGCGGAAAAGGGCAGATCGGGTGGCTATACCAAAAACTACACCCTATGACGTGGTACGAAGCGTGTACTGCTTCCTTGTTGGGTTGACTGCCGGTATCTATCAGCTGGGGGTTCTCCGATTCCTCTAACAACTGACAAAGAGGCACTATGTCTTTTCTCATTGCCATGCATTGAAATGATCCCGTCAGCAAAACGGCTGACGCACGTCAAGCCTGAAGCCAGCTGAAGCTGGAGCGTCGATGACGGCATTTCCCGCGCACCCCATTGCCAGACAATCTGAACTCAAGCCTCCCAGGAATCCACGAGGTCTGATGTAGAGGCTTGCCCCCTCAGGAAAATCGCGAGGCGCACCCTAAGACATGTACCTTGGCAAGCTGAAATCCAGATTAGGCACTTTCAATGTAGCTTCCGGCCTATCCCCCTCCATCAGTTGAGCGGTTCCAAAACACTCTGACACGTATCGGCCCATCCCAATGGTTTCATTTGGTTGGCCCCTGAATGCCGAGCCTAACCCCAGTCTCGGCCAAACAAGCTTGCTCTTGAAACCGCCAAAAGACCCCCCTGGTTTTCAAAATTCGGGCTGGTCTTGAAAATAGGGTACCACCCTATGAATAGTGTCCTTTCCTTTCCCTGCATCAACTTGCGAACAATTCCCAGGGTACCCAGTTACCCTCCAAACAGGACACACTCACATGGGCAGGGAAGAGGTCCTGGCCCCCGGCGAACGTCTTCCCAACGCCACTGGATCCAGGCCTAGGGTCATGCGCGCGGCGGGGATGCCGATCACCAGCAAGAAGAGCACCACCAGGACTGAGCGCATCGCATGGGGATTCGATCGGAGTCAAGTGGCGTGTGGGGGGTCCATGCTGCCGGTTCTTCTCCTCACTTATGGAGGGGATTGGCCCAAACAGGAAACCAAACGAGTTGGTTTATCACTCATAGAAGATCTTCCCAAACACAGGTGACCCTTTGGAAAAAATAGATGGCCTGGTAGCTGGAGAAAAAAACACAATTTGAAGCAGCGCCACCTATTTCTATCCAAGCTGACCTCAAAAGCGCACCTATGTTTCCAAAAAGTGCAAAGTCCAGGAACTCTGGGAGTGAGCCTGTGGGTGACACCCCGAAACCTGACCCAAAGCTGAGGTTCACAAAACAAACTGCATGTTCAGATTCTGGTTCACGATTCGTCTACCCAAGACTCACAATAATTTTGGAGGAGACCCTAGAATAGGGCCGGCTTAGATGAGCCACCCCCTGTCAATCAACCAGGCTTTACCAATCCTGGGAATAGCCACATGCCTAAGCTCTCCGAAGAAGCCGAACACGTCAAACCAATCACACTGGGAGGGGGATCATTTTCGAACACCGATTTTGGATCATTTTCGAACACCGATGTCCTGGATCATTTTCGAACACAGAGTGGGTCATTTTCGAACACATGGGGGGGCTATCCTGCGGCACCCGTGGGGTGGGGGGGGGTGGGGTGGGGCAGTTGCGTTCGCCTCTTACTGCGTGCCCGTGCAACTGCGCCCTGGGGGCAGGGGGCAACCAGGAGGCTCCGAGTCCCAAGTTACCTTGGCTTTTTGAGCTAAGATGTCCTCGGCGACTTGCGCCCGTTGGCCCCCGTAAAGCCGTGAAAGCACGGTCTAACGGCCGTAATAACTCGCGCGGGAAACTGAAAGGCCGCTACTACTCCGTGAAAAAGCCGTGAAAACTCGTGAAATTTCAAGCTCTGAGTTATCTTGTCCTCGCGACACAAAAAACCTCCTTAGCTCATACAGCCTAAGTAACTTGCGAATCGGAGCCTCCTGGAATTGCGATCGCCGCTTACTGCGTGGCGGCGCAACTGCGTATTGGGGCTGGGGGGGGGGGGGGTGGGGTGGGGCAGTTACGTTCGCTTCTTGCTGCGTGACCGTGCGACTGCGTCCTGAGGGGGGGGGGATGGGGTGGGGCAGTTACGTTCGCCTCTTACTGCGTGACCGTGCGACTGCGCGCTGGTGGTGACGGCGGTGTTGTTGGTAGCGATGATGACGATGTTGATGATGATGGTCATGATGATGGTGATGATGATGATGATGATGATGATGATGATGATTATGTTGACCATGTTGATGATGATGATGTTGATGATGATGATGGTGACGGTGATGATGTTGATGATGATGGTGATGATGTTAATGATGATGATATTGATGTTGCCGATGAGGATGTCGATGGCGATGACTTTGATGATGTCGATGATGGTGGGGATGTCGACGTTGATGTTGATAATGGTGATGATGTTGTTAATGATGATGATGATGGTGATGATGTTCATGTTGACGATGTTGATGAAAATCTTGACGATGGTGATGTTGATGATGATGATAATGGTGATGATGATGGTGATGATGATGATGATGATGATGATGGTGATGTTGACGGTGTTGTTGATGATGATGATATAGATGTTGGTGGTGATGTTGATGATGGTGGTGATGATGTTGGTGTTGATGTTGATGATGGTGATGTTGTTGGTAGTGATGATGACGATGTTGATGATGATGGTAATGATGATGGTGACGATGATGATGATGATGTTGACGACGATGATGATGCTGATGGTGATGTTGACGATGATGATGATGATGATGATGTCGCTTTGCGTTCCTTGTGCTTTGTGTTCCCGGGTCTACAGTTGACGATTGTCTCCCAAAAGCACGGCGCCATCCATGTGCTACACGTGCATCGTGGTGCGTGTTCGTGCGCCTCATCGTGGTGTGCATGGACACTTGGAAAACGGCCGTGCTGCTGTAAATCACATACACTTGAGCAAAACCGCGTTCAAAAACGAGCCAAAACACGCGTTCAAAAACGAGCCGAAACACGCGTTCAAAAACGACCACCTTCCCATCACACTAGCACCTGCAAAAAATCGACCCAGACCGTACCGACAAAACACCGGTGAGGCGGATAACGGGGCAACAACAGCTCAGCTTCCCTCTCGTGATGTCCCATTTGCCCTCAACAAGAGGGGGTTCAAACCCTCAAACGAATCCAAACGAACTGTAAGGGTTACCTGAAAACACAAGCCAGACAGGAAAAACCGCACAAAACAACAGCCTGACTGGGAGCCTCGTGCCAACGAACCATTCAAAACTCAAAACAAAGCAAAACACATGCACCCCGTGGCCCGAATTCGATTGGCGACGTCAAGGTCCATGCAAGGGGGTTCCATATTCACTGCCTCCGTTTGCTTATTGTGAGTCCCCTGAATTTCCCTTCAAAGCTACTCACTACCTCCACTGTGAGTCCTAAAGCCAACAGGGGAGAAATTCAACACGGCTTCCCACGCCTATGGAGAACGCCATGAGGACATTCCTGAGGATGGGATAGGTGTCGCCACCCGTCGCCTGGCGATTCTTCCGATGCGGGACATCAGGGAGCCTGGTGTTTGTCAGAACTGTGAGTCTACATGGGTGCGTCGTTTCTTGGTGACCCCCCCAAAACAAAAAACAAACAAATGGTGGGTGCCCTTCGGCCTTTCCTTTAAAACCACAACAAGAAAGGGGGGTCACATGTTGATTTAAGAGTTCGTGAGTCCCCATGCTTTGTTCTAAAATGAGCTTTGAGTGAGGCCCCCCTGTCCCGAATCGTCCCGAACAAAGCAGACTGAAAGCACACAAAATCGGAACCGAAGTGTCAAGTTGGGGATTCCCACTTGGATCGTGGGGCAACAGTCTTACTGACCTGCTGAGTTGACTGAGAAAAATGAGAGATCTTTTTGGGCCACTACAATGATGCACAAACCTGCCAACTCAGCTCACCGAATTTCAGGATCAACACCCAGCGAAAGCGAGGAAGTCCCAGTCCGACACCCAATTGAAGATGTCCCTGAACGCATTCCTAGGGCTCCCCTGCAATCATCACCCAGCACGACTTCTTTAACTTGGTGGCTATGCCCCCTGCGCCAAAAGTGTAACCTTTTGTGGGCGAAGAAAAAAACATGTCCCTCAAAAGTTAAAGGTTAACGATCCAACCAAATGGGAATGTGTTAGAATGGAGGACCCAACAAATCGTGTCCTTTTGGATTCCCTTTAAACCAATCCCAAAACGGGTCAAACAAAGGACAAACCCACATGGAAGCCCCGGGAAAAGTTGGTCTAAGCTAGCAGCTGCCCAACATCCTCCATATTCGTTGGGGGAATCAACCAAAGAGGCCGTGGCATTGTGACGGAAAAAACATACTCCCTTGTTTCCGTTGTTACCCACAAGTCTTCTCAGATCTGTTTGTCTTTTCGCGCCGTTTCCGGGAGGGTTGTCTTCTTTCGGGGAAAGCAAAGGCAAGCTCCACATGTTTCGAAAGCCCCGCCGGAGCTCCCCAAAGTTAGAGGTGCGGAGTGAATCACCCAACCAAAAAGCCCAACTAAATGCAGTAAATTCAGGGGATGATCTTGTTCCCTGACTTGCAAATACTGGCATCCACCGTTACCTGGCAGGCTGGTGTTCGTCCAAAAAGAAAGGCTTGCCTCTGACATGGTCACATTCCCCGATCAAATCCTTTATTTGCTGGAGTCCAATAGAAGAAAAATGTTAACAATTCCAAGAGTGATAGCTTCTCTTTAAAACCAACAGGGGAAACTAAAACATATTAAGCAAATAGAAAAAAACCAACCAGGGGTTCAAAACATCCGACAAAATTCAGTCTGCCACAGGACCTCTCATTCGACCGCCCTGTCCTCATCCATTCTGATGAAGATCATCAGCAGCACACCTCTGGTTCCACCAAAATCATCCCATCTGACGTTGGGATCAAGCTAACGAAGTTTGGCCCCTGCAAAAAGGAAGCATCAACCCCTTCAACCCCCTTTTTAACAAGTTTCAACCCTGGGGGGACTCATAAGTGGGTTGTAACCTAGGTCGCCAACACCTGCTTGGCCGAACACCCAAGATACCCTTCAGGTTTGGTCATTCGTGGCAACGTGAACTGACCCAGCTTGGGAAAACCGGGGCTGCAGAGTTGGGGCCCTCCATTCCCTCTGGAAACCAGTTGGCTGCGGGTCAAGAATAGGTACCCAAATGGAACCCTGGTAGAAGGAAACATACACGAAAACCTGCGGTCCCCTGGTGGTTCAATTTTGACCCACAGCCAGTTGAACTTTTGGTCGCCCAAACTCCAAGGCAGCGGCCCACCAGGATGATGTGGAGCAAGAAGCAGAAGTTCAGCACGTAGGACAAGAACTGCGGAGGTCGCAGGCCAAAACATCCGCGGCGTTTTTGCCCTCTACGGGGAATTTTTGGGGTGAGTTCCCCGGGTGGTGGGGACAAAGCAGAGTTTTGTGTACTGACCATAGCCAGTCAGGATATGTTGAGGAATCCAGGCTCCAAACCTTGGATCCAAATTGCTCCGAAAGGTCGAGTCAGAGTTGGGACCCCTTCTTGGGCCATTTTGCTTGCGCTCTTTGCTGGAACTGAAACAAATCTGGCCAAGGCATCTCCCCGCCCGTTGCCGTTCTGGAAAATTCGTCCCACGTTCGTGGAAGCGAGTTGGCACCTGTTTTGAACTGGAGCGGCCTTACAGGATGGTTTTCCAATTCGGGGGCTAGCTTTCCATAATTGAGCCAAGACTAACGGTTAACTAACCCATAAACTAGGCTTCGCCGCGCGAACCGGCGTTGAGGTTTTTGGCACGTTGAGGTTTTTGGCACGTTCTGAAAGAATGTGTAAGTGCAAAAAACATCAAGGCAGATTCAAGCGGCGGCCTAGAAACAAACCCTCCCCAGCACTGAGGGCGGCGCTTTTGTTCATGCTTTCTAAGGGTTTAAAGATGGCAACGCAGCCCACAGATCCTTGCCTGCGTTCATGCGCCATTGCCATGAAAAAACGTATTCATGAAGAGCTGGATTCACCAGCTTGCTTCCCACATGTTTTGCCTGAACTTCTCGCGGCAAGTATTCTTTTAATCGACGCCAGCATGAGTCCAGAGCCTGCGTTCCAGCGACTTTTGTGCGGCCTCCCGTGCAGAAATGGCAGCTGAACTCCATAAGGCAATGTCGAACCTGGAAGAACTCAAGACCTGCGTCTTCACATGCACTGCGCCAGCTGCGAGCACCATCCCCGTAGACAGTGGCCCCTGGCCTGACTTTGGAAATCAAGTCAGAAGACATCACATCTAAACTGCTTTCGGTAGGTGGCCTTGCCGATGGCTTCAACAACACGTATGGCAAAGGTGACATCAGAATCTTGCCAGTAGAGCCGCGTTCTTTGGCTCCTCCGATTCTGACGTGCACATCAAACCATGGTGGCAGAGCCTGCTGTCCATGCCGTTCCTGCCAAGCCCGAATAGGGACAGCCCAAGATGGATTCGATTTGCTTATGTGCAGTTTTCTGATTGTTGTTGCGTCCACTTCTATCTGGCCCTTGAGGCGCAACTGCTCCAGCTGAAGTCTGCCGTGGCGGGCTTCTAAGCCCCGAAGCTTTTGAAAAACCAGAATGCACAGGTGCTCATTGATCTTGGCAATCTTGGCCGGCTTGCTTGGCCGAGGATTGGTTTCTGAAAAGTAGCTGATCACTATGATGAAGAGATGCAAAGGCGTCAATGCGCGGTTGTGCTTCTCCACACCATCTCTGTTCAGCCAGTTGTTGCAGCTTAAGACATTGATTCTGCTCCGGCAGTCCTCGTTTGTGCAATGCCAATACAGCTGCTGGGAAACAATGTCTTTGCGCGGATAAGGGCCGCAGAGGTAGCCATGACATGAGTCACATCTGGCAGGCCGCTGCAGCAAACGCGAAGCCAGCAAATGCTTCAGAGCTTCTTCATTCGTCACTCCTGCAACTTGCGGTCCAGACCACTGCCGGTCACGTCTGTCGCCAGCACCCAGAACATCGCCGCTATATTCCTTTCGCCTAGTAGACTTGGAAGCAGCAGGCCGCTTCATGGCTGGCTTTTTCACTTTTCTGAGCGCAGCAAAGCCTGTTCCTCTGCAAGTTCGTGACTTCCCTCTAGAAGCAGAGCCATTCGCGCCCTTCTTCAAAGCGCGATATTCCGCCGCTCCTTGAATCTGGCAAGTCAAGTAATTATGCCCCTGGCGGCCGCATAAGCGGCAACCGGGCATGGCAAAACTGGGAAGCCAAAAGGCTGCAGAATGCGGTCTTCTAACCAACCTGTCAAGACCTAGCCAAATCATGACCTAGCCACTGCAAAGACCTTGCAACTTGTCAACCTTGAAAAAGCCGAATAGCATGATGGCTTTTTATCTCTTCACTATTGCAATGGTTTGTTGCCTCCGGATTAGGTCGTCTGTTGCGACCGAAAAAACTCAAGCCACTCCACTGCGTTAGCCACAAGCTGCTGACGGTCTACTGCTGCTTCATCCCAAGCCTCAGCAAGGCAAACTGCTTGGTCAGCCTGCCGAAAATAGATCATGCCGATGCTGGCGTAGCTGCCAATGCACTCTTCCACCATTGGCTGCTCAAACGGCAGCACAGACTGCAGCTCAGCTATAGCAACCCACGGAGTGCCACCGCGGCTGAGGCTTGTCAATGCGGACCACATGATGTCCATTGGTTCTGCTTCTGGGTTCTGCATCTTCAAGCATAGCTCAGCCCGCAAGCGATCTTGGAAGGTTGGCCCTGCTGCGCTGGAAGAAGCAAAGTCATGCATTGTAGCTTGCTTCCTTCGCCTGTCTTCCCAGCGTCTGTTCGCCCGAAACTCTTCTAGATCAGCCCGAGCCACCGGATACCAATAGCTCCTGTTGGCAGACAGCGCCAGCGCAGCATCGATCTTGCTCTGCCACGTGTGTGCTAGATCAAAGCGACCCACTTCTTGCCAGTGCTGTGCTTCCGCGCGGGCAAGCTTGACAAGCGCCTGCTCTGCGCGAGCTCTCATCCCACGCAGAGTGCGGGCTGCACTGCTGAAGCCTGCTGCTTCAATGACACGAGCACACCACGTTGCACAGTGTGGCCAATCATTGGGCATGATGAGATATGGCCCAGGTCGAAGGTGCAAGCTCCTATTGTGAGCCATTGCTGGCAGCTCCTCACAGCCCAGTTCCACAGCAATGCGTGCGGCCACAGCGCCCGCAGCAAAAGGCACCACTGGCTGCACTGGTTGCTCTGGGGCCACGCTGCCAGCTCGTGAAGACGATGGCTCATGCGGAAGCCTCAAATGCCAATTTCGGGAGATTTAAAGCACATAAAAACCAAAAACAAAAAAACAAAACAAAACAAAACCTGGGTTTTCAAACTAGCTGCCAATAGTTTCCCAGAAACGGTGTTCCTGGCGATCTCAAATCAATCGGTGAAAGCATCTGCAGGCTCATGGCATCTGATCGAACGGACAACGGAGACTCGGCCGCAGTTTTGCGGCGCTTCTGCGGCGTGCATGGCACTTCCATGGAAAACCTGGAAAATTCGACAGCCTGCTTAAGACTCTGAGCCCGGATCAAAGCAGTGAACGCTTACCAGACATGGATGCTTACCAGACATGGATGCTTATCAGCCCCCCCCCCCGAACCCCCCCCCCCAACCCCCCCCCCACGCTGAAATGCAAGGAAAAACCAAGTGATTCATGCAAAAGTGTCAAAAACGGCTCAAAACTCCAGCGCCGGTTCCAACGGCGTACGCATAAACTAGGGGTTCATACCAGGGGTTCATGTATAGGGGAATCGGGAATACATTCCCTTTCAAACACCGAGATCCATGGAAAGAGGGTGCGTTTAGGTGTTTGGTCACTTGGAGTTTTGCAGCGATGGCAATCTGTCAGCCTGACAATGACCGACCGAGAGGGAGCATGCCTTCTCCCTCAAATCAGTACAAGGGAATTGATTCGGATGGCTCTACGACTTACTACCATGTCCCTAACCAGAACTTCTGGTAGCTCCCAAAGCCTCCCTCTTTAAGCAAATTTGGATACCTCAATCCAACCACCAGCTAGATCAACCACAGGAGGGACACAGGGAGGCCTATGGGTGCTTGCTGGTTTCCCAGCGACTCTGATATTGCCGGGAAAAAACACAGGGGGGCCGAAACAGGGCTTGCTGGTTTTCTGGGAGGCGATCATAGCAGAATCTTCAGCAATGTATTCCCAGTTGGGCCAATATGGCTGTGGACCAAACATTGGCTGGAATCCGCAAATGGCACCTTGGCAAAAGGACCAAAGACGAAAACCTGCATAGCCCTAGCTCTGTATGTTTTAGTCACACGCATAGTGTCAAACAATGATGTTGACACACTTCCAAGTGAGATGCTCGCTTGATTTTCTAAAACACATTCCAACACAATTCCTTTGTGTCGTGTTATTTGTGTGGATGGTTCGAAGGGAAGCCAACAGAAGCCCACCTTGCTTTCAAGTGGGGGGACCTGTCCAGCATTTTGAGACACCAACTCCGCGCCTGCGCCCGCTGCTGCGTCTTGCGTTGGAACCGCGTCATCTCCTCAAGTGTCCTCGCGAACGCGCCGCGAGGCACCTCGAAACACCCGGGCGAATCGACAGTAAAGCTGTGCGGTCGCTTGAGCTCATTTGGCCATGGGTCACAAGCCCGGCTACCCCCCAGTGAACATCCCAATCCCCACTAAGATAGGCTCTAAAATGGGTGGTGCACCAACCAAAATGGGGGCCCGTTGGTTTGACCCACAGCCATTTCAGACCTGGAAGTAAGGCTAAGGTCGGATATCACCTTTTGAACCCTGACTCTGGACCATGGAAACCCAAAAAGTCAGATCAGGTCGATTCGCTTTGGACTTTTGTGAGTTACACCACTAAAGGGCAGGTCTTCAGATGACACTTTAATGGGCCCAGTTCAACTGGGCACTTCAAGCTTCTGACCAGCTCGAACCTTGATCTTGGAGCAACCCTGAACGCTGCGCGGTCAGTCCTGAAAAACATCACGAACTCGTGGATGTCGATGGTCCCGTTCATGTTCTGAGCCAAGCACATGGCAAAAGGAGGCGATCAATTCCCTCTCTCTCAGCAATCGGATGAAACCAAAATGCGGGAGCTGTGCCATCTACTTCCACCCATCTACTTCCACCCACGTGCGAAAGACAGACGTCGAATCGAAGGGCATAACAAAGTTCGGCTCTTCGATTGGCACATCACCAAGAAGCCTGCACGCGCACAAGGCTCTCAAACACCAAAAGGCACTATCCAAAACCGGGATCTAGCTCTAGTTGAGCCAAAAATTGGGTGTACCTAGATGGCCAACTTGCTGCTTTTTGTTCAGTCACTGTTGCTGGTTTTTGGGGTAAAGTGGACGGAAAAAAAGCAGCAGCTGGCGATCCAGGTATCCTCTTTCGAACAATCATTGAAACAGGAGGTTTGGGAAGACGACGTTCCAAATGGGGGAAGCCCCCTGTTCACTTTCATAACCGGAAAAACGGGGTACACACTTTCTACACGGGTGTGGCTCTGATTGAAATGGGTGTTCCTTCGAGGGTTGTTAAACCAACCAAAATGGCAAAATGGCCCCAACATGGCCCTTCGCTCAAAGGGCCAACAAATGATGGATCTCTTGCTGGTTTCCCTTTTTCCATCCCCCCCCCCCCATTTTGGGGGGGGGGGGGTGAGGGCTTGAGAAAACAAACCCACCAAAAACCATCTCCGCCTTGTCGATCTCATTCATCACCGTGGTGGCTGCCGCCTGAAACAATATTTTTTCAGGGCACGGGGAAAACATCTTTTCTGGGTGACCCAAATGCTCATGCTCGAGCTGGGACGCACCGGAAACCACTGAGCGCTAAGCCAGTGAAACAGATGATGCTCGTATCATGACTTTGTCTTCAGAGTACGAACATCTTCAAATGATTGAACGGCCCTTATAGTAACAGGTCGGGGTTTGAGCAGGAGTGGTTCGGAAGAGTGGTTTGGGGAAGTAGAACCTCTTCACCACTGTCCTCCATCGGTCCTGACCATCCAGTATGGGTGTCTCAACATTTCGAACCACCCCGCCACCCCCCCAGCCACCCAAAAAAAATCCGGCGGGGGGTTCCTTCTGGTCCCCCGAAACAACCCAAAAAATAGAACCGCAAAAATTGGGCGATCGCTGAAATGGTGGAAGTCTACCTGGCTTCCCTTGCAACTAAGAAGGGTACCAAGCCTCACAAAAGCCACATCCTTTTTTTCCTGCAAATTGGCTTCCCTTGAAAACAACCAAAAAGCGGATTGCTCCAAAGTCTCTGTCACAAGAGGTAGAATGTTGGTCCCGACTGCAAGACCAAGGGATCCGATTCGCCAATCTTCCCATTTTTGTGCCAGGTAAGGCACGCAACAGACCCTTTTTGGAAGACGAGGTCTCAGGGTAACCAAACTGGTGTTCTGACTCTGTGCATCTCTGTGCGATATTTCGTTCACCCTTTGCCAAGTGATTCCATGTACATACGAGGCAACCAAAGGAAACCATCCATGGTAAAACCTGGTACAAAACATGGTTACCTATCGGGACGTGCAGACGATTTTAGGAGGTACACAGAAATCATAACTTCTGACTCTGACTCTGACTCGATTAGGTCCGCTGGAAAAGTGAGACAACATTGCCAGTAGTGAAACAGATTCCCTAAAAAACCCAACATAAAGAACATTCATTTCAGCAAGTGGGCCTGTCCTTTATTTACGGGGTCCCCCCAAACTGGTGGCATTCCATTGGTTTCCACCAAAGAAAAGAGCCGACCAAAAGCGGCACCCCCCCTGTGCCCAAAAAAAGAAGAAGAAAAAAAGAAACAACCCCCCCCCCCAAATGGAAGAGACGATGATTTCACCACGGTGTGGCCAAAGAAATGTCCGCTCGTCTCCCAAAATGGAAGGCTATGGAAGGGAAACCTCCCACCCCCAGGGACTTTGAGCGTACCTTCCAATTCTTTCCAGGGATCCGAATCTTTTCAGGAAACCATCAACAACCCCGGGGAAACAGATCCGGTTTTTGAGAACCGATGGAGATGAAAAGAATGGTTGAATGGAATCAACCCATAGAACTTCGAGCATGTTTCGCCGATCGCTCGCCTCCGAGGCGTTGAGTCCGCACAGCTTCAGCGCTTCGCAGAGCTCCACTGGCGAACGCACGCGGGAGGAGTGGGGAGGGGCTACGACGATTCCATTTTTGCTTTTCGCCCCCTGGACGAATGGAAAATAGGTCCAGTGATATGTGTTCCTGGAAAACCAACAGGAGAAAATAAAGAATATTCTGAAGCAAATGGAAGACAAGGGGCTGTCTTTGGTCTCTGTGCCCTTTGAAAGGTTGGCTTAAAGTGAAAACCAAAAGGAAAACCGCTAGTTTTGGGGCGTCTCTATTCTGACACACCCGAAGGGAGCCCCACATCGCTTCTCGGGTGGGGTGCTCAAAATCAAAGAGGGTCTGCCCAGGTGCTATGAAGCTCCCGATTTATGTCCAACCGATTAACATCATGCCACATCGCAAAATAGTACCAAATGGAGAAAACATAATAATCCCCATGTGGGGTCCTGCTGGGAAAATTGAACAGTATAGGCTGCTTAGCACCGAGCTTGCCAGTTACCCTGTTGAAAGTTCAGGGACCCAAGCCCGTTCAGACTTCTTCCTCCCAAGTGTGGAAACAAGAACGAACGGAAATAACACTCGGTTCTCAAAATTGGGGGACCCCCCCAAACAAAGGGGACCCAAAAAATCGGTGCCTTTCCTTTTGGGTTGTTCTCTGTTGTAGTCTTTTGCAAAATCATGAACAGAACCAAAAAACGGGTGAAAAACACAACATGCCAACAGCCGTGAAGTTTAAACCAACCCCGAAAAGAGTACCAAGCCTCACAAAACGCCTCGGACCCATTGGGCCTAGCGTGACGGAGCCGCTGCCGTCGTCGTCGATCTCCTGATAGGCCGCCTGATCAGTCTGGCTGGACAGCCGAGTGCTGGTGTTGCCATGTTTCAAAAACCGCAAGAAAAAGGGGAAGAAGCATACGTGTCCTTTTGGCTGAAAATAGATGGGTTTGCCTGGATTATCAAACGACCAGGTCAACCAAGAATCGCCATCTCAAAGAATGGTGCCCCTGGAAGCCAAAACTGCAATTTGCATTAAGTCCCCTGGAAGAAATACAAATGTTTCCACATGTGATAGATTGTTTTTTTACAGCCAACGGGGGGAAATAAAACCGCCGTTCAGCAAACTGGTCTGTCTTACTGGCGCACTCCCGGTTTCCCAGCCCCATCCGTCAATATGTGCCGGGGGTGATGATAAAGTCGACCAAACAAATCCGGGTATGAACTTAAGTAGGGACCCTTTGGTGGACATGATTTGGCTGGTGATTTGTGTCCAAGAACCATTTGTGTGCTTCTTCCTTCTTAGAATTCACAACTATGCAGAAACGGACTTCATACAGACCTGACTATAAACGCAAGCCGGGTACCACCTACCAACATAGAAGCAACACGGGCGTCTAAGCGCCGCGCGCTCCCTTTCACAGGGGCCGTCAAACACGACCAGGTCACAAGAGCAACCGGCGAGATCCCCTTTTGGATCGTGTGTTGGAAGGAAAACAACAGGTTTTTTTCCCACGTTTTAGGGGTCCCTTGTTTTGAGACGCCAAATCAAACCTAAGCCATCTTGCCTTGGGTCCATATTTTTGGGGGGTTGAGACGCACCCAAATCATGTTAAGCCGTCTCACGTTCCAGTTTCCACGGAGGAGATACCAACTATCCGACGGGTCTGTCCAACAAATCTGAGTGCATAATTACCCTTAAGATGACCAGCGCTTTGTTTGGTTTCACTTCACAATGGCAAAGGCCGCCTTCTTTTGAGGGTGCCTTGTTTGCGGTGTTAAAGGGGAAATCGATATCCTAAAAAAAGGCTTCTCTCCAAGTGGCGCTGTGGATTAATGGTTTGGAGGTTAGGGAGTGGTCTTCCAAACATCACCTCACCTCAAAGAAGAGGTGATTTTGCGTCAATCAAACATCTGTCAAGATCGATCACAAATGGGATCCGAAATCGGATGCGAAACTTCGGCGTTGATTAGAAGCCGTTCAACGGGCCCCGTGAGTCTTCTGATAGTGAGTACAATGGAATCCCTCCTTGTGCTTCCGCCCCTTGAAAACAACCAAGGAAACAAAATGCCTGGTCTCCCCCTTGTGTTCCCCCTCCCAAAAAAAAAACATCCAAGACAACAAAATGGTTCGCGCTGGAACATAGGTGGCCTTTTCGCAAAATAGATGGCCCTGGTACACGAAATAAATGGACTAAATGGAATAAACCATATCTAAACCAGGGCCCTCTATTTTTTTTAGCAAACCACCCAAACAGGGCCACCCTATGCACTGGCAGCGCCTGCAGCAACTCCATGGGCAGCTCCGCCTCCTCGTTGCCCTCGTTCTCCTCGCGGTTGGGCGGGGATTGGGAGGCAGAGGGTGGGACTCGCTCGGCGCGTTCCAACAAAAGCCGACCGGAAGAACCCCAGCTCTTGACAAAAAAGGGGCCAGACCTCAGGAGAAAGGCCAAGCTTTTGTTTGTTTTGAACAGAACTGCGACCTTTTGACAAAGAAGGGGACCCCTTTGGCAAATCAAAGCCGACCACGAGAACAACGACTATGACTTTGACCGGTTTGTCTGGTTCCCATGGCCAAGGCTTTCTTGAAATTCGTCTGCCAAAAAAAAAAGACGAGCCTGGTTTCGGAGTTGGGGAAGGCGAGCCCTGAGCTCTCTCCTTTTGAGCGCGGAGAGTCAAGCCTTCAGGGAAAAGCACAACAAAAGGAAGCGCTCCATGTTCTTTTCGGCGGGTTTGCTGTTTGACATGTGGCGCTCCCAATCAACCCCATCGTAGAAACTTGGTCGGGAAAGGCGAAACAAGTGTCGCCAGGCTTGGCCGAGATGCTAGGAGTAACCCTGCTAACCAGGGGTTCCACTTTTGACTACACCAAGATAAGACGTAAACCCAGGGTTCTCCTTGTGGGGGAATGAACTACCCCTGATTTTAAGTCTACTCTGGGGTAGTCAAAAAGTGGAACCCATCTAGAATCTAGAAAGACCCAAGACCCCATCAGCTTCGCGGCTTCGCCAACGGTTTTGCTAAAGAGGACATTGGTTCCCCGTGGGCCGACTCAACCAACCAACCAACCAACCAACCAACCAACCAAGCAAGCAAGCAAGCAAGCAAGCAAGCAAGCAAGCAAGCAACGAACCAACGAACCAACGAACAAGCCAACGAACAAACAAACAAACAAACAAACAAACAAACAAACAAACAAACAAACAACAAATTACTTCGCTTCGAGCAGTCCTCACCCTCCACACTCACGAGCTTACGACCGTGAACACGGTTGTGTGAATTCAAGCATGGTGTTCGAGTGGCTTGGGGCCTATGACTGCTCAACAAGCTTCCTTATCCGCCTGTCTGCGTGTCAAACTCCACATGCCTGCGAGCCGATCTCGAGAACTCACACATCGGTTCCGTTAACAACAGCCAAGCCCCTCCCGACGGGGGATTAAACGAAGTTGCTTTGTCACAACCAAAAGCAACACAAACGCATCACCCTTTCCGAGCCTCAGGGTACACTCAACACACGAAGGCACCAACATGAAATGTAAACCCAACTGTGCGCCGGGCGGGACATTAAGCAAAACCAGACTGGCGAGCTGCTCTGGCGGGATACTGGCAGGGTCCACTGGCGAATGATGGCGAGCCGCTCCGGCTTGATACTGGCCGGATACTTGGCAGGATCCATCGGCAAAGGATACTCAGCAGGATACTCGGCGGGATCCACTGGCGAGCCGCTCTGGTGGGATACTTGGCGGGATCCACTGGCGAGCCGCTCTGGCGGGATACTCGGCGGGATCCACTGGCGAGCAGCTCACTGGGCGGGATCCACTGGCCAGCTGCGGGATACTCGGCGGGATCCTCTGGCGAGCCGCTCTGGCGGGATACTCGGCGGGATCCACTGGCGAGCCGCTCTGGCGGGATCAGCTCTGGCGGGATACTGGGCGGGATCCACTGGCCAGCTGCGGGATACTCGGCGGGGTCCGGGATACTCGGCGGGATCCACTGGCGAGCCGCTCTGGCGGGATACTGGGCGGGATCCACTAGCAGCTCCGGCGGGATACTTGGCGGGATCCACTGGCGAGCCGATCTGGCGGGATACTCGGCGGGATCCACTGGCGAGCCGCTCTGGCGGGATACTCGGCGGGATCCACTGGCGCTCTGGCGGGATACTCGCGGGATCGCTCTGGCGGGATACTCGGCGGGATCCACTGGCGAGCCGCTCTGGCGGGATACTCGGCGGGATCCACTGGCGAGCCGCTCTGGCGGGATACTCGGCGGGATCCACTGGCGAGCCGCTCTGGCGGGATACTCGGCGGGATCCACTGGCGAGCCGCTCTGGCGGGATACTGGGTGGGATCCACTAGCAGCTCTGGCGGGATACTCGGCAGGATCCACTGGCGAGCAGCTCTGGCGGGATACTCGGCGGGATCCACTGGCGAGCCGCTCTGGCCGGATACTGGGCGGGATCCACTGGCAGCTCTAACAGGATACTCGGCGGGATCCGCTGGCGAGCTGCTTTGGCGGGATACTCGGCGGGATCCACTGGCGAGCCGCTCTGGCGGGATACTCGGCGGGATCCACTGGCGAGCCGCTCTGGCGGGATACTGGGTGGGATCCACTAGCAGCTCTGGCGGGATACTCGGCGGGATCCACTGGCGAGCAGCTCTGGCGGGATACTCGGCGGGATCCGCTGGCGAGCCGCTCTGGCGGGATACTTGGCGGGATCCACTGGCAGCTCTAACGGGATACTCGGCGGGATCCGCTGGCGAGCTGCTTTGGCGGGATACTCGGCGGGACCACAGGTTTTAGTCATTGCTTCCATAGGGTGTCCTTTTGGGGTTACCCTATTTTTGAAAAACCACACCCATATCTCCTCCCATGTTTGGCGGGGTTCCGCGTGGGTGTCCGCGTTTGGAGGTGACCACGGAGCTGCAAAAAGCGGGTGTCCGGTGTCCGGTGGTGTCCGTTTGGAAGGAACACAGCCGCAAAAAGAAGAAGGGTGCCCCTCAAAAGAAACACACACACACACACACACACCAGCACAACGAACGGAGGGCTGTTAAAACACATACATCGATTTTTGCGAATACGTCCCTGGGAAGATTAACAAATACGTCCAGTGACCAATTCCCTTAAACACCGACAGAACAAGACAAAACAAATCTTGCACTCCTACAAATTAAAAATGGAACCCACAAACCCGCCATTTGTAGCGGAATCTCCTTTTGAGGGACCTCCTTTTTGGGTTCCATGTTAGCTTGCATGTTACTGCATGTTTCAGCATGTTTAACCAGGTTGTCCCAACCCCCATTTCCCGTGCATTTCCCACCGTCACCCGGCCTGTGTGTAGAAGATCAGCTTCTGAAGCATGACCTAAAGAGGTGCGCAAGCTCTTGGCACATGCGCCTCTTAAGCGGTACTCCTTATCTTGAGTTGCCATAAAGGAGCAAGATGCTCAAGCGAATGTTTCTCCCAACACCAGGACGCCAAACGTTGAGTTTCTCTTCGAAAATTCCTTCAGAAACCTTCCGAAAAAGTCCCCTCATGTTTAGGGCGCCTTCTTTTGGATGGTACCCACTGCTCGTCTTATTTTTACAGCAAAAAGAAGCCCCCCCCCCCGTTGTTGCAAGCGCCCGAGCGCGCGGCTGGGACTCTCTTCGGCCCTGTGCCAGGTGCACCTCCCCTTGGCACCGGCGAATTCGAATTGGGTGTGTGTGTGTGTGTTAAATATGGGTACCATATATATATATATACATATGTATATGTATATATATACATACTTGTACATATATATATATATATATATATATATATCAATATACATATGTGTTGTGTCTGTGTGTGTGTTCTGGAGGGTATCATTTGCAAGGTTGGTTTGAAAGGAAAGGGAAGTGAAAACCACTATTTTGGAGGGGGGGGGGCTCCCATTTTGACACATCACCCTATCTGGATTCATCCCTGGCCTCCCTTCAGAAGTGGTGTACTTATTTGAAGAAGCACCTGCCTGCTTTTCTATAAGGGCCTTCCCAGCGTCTTCACCGTTTTTTGATGGTACCCTGTTTTCCCCCAGATAGCGGAAAGCTATAGGGGTTCTAACTTCTAATAAAGAGGGGAAATTGATTTGCGAGATTGATGGGCTGGTGCTAGGTGGCGTGCAGTTTGGGGTGCTGGTGTGGGTGCTGATTGGCGTGCTGTTTGAGGTGCTGATGCCAGCGCGGGCGCATCTTTTCAAGATTGACGGTAGGGTGCTAGGGGGCATGCAGTTTGGGGTGCTTGCGCAGGTGCTGCTTTGGGGGGTGACGGCGCACGTATTCTTAGCATCTTGACGGTAGGAGGCAGGGGGGAATGCAGTTTGGGGTGCTGGTGCTGATGGTGCTGTGGGACGCAGTTTGTGGGGAGCTGTTTGAGGTGCTGGTGACGGCGCAGGCGCATTTTTGCATATTTTGACGCTCGGGTGCTATCGGGCATGCAGGTCACGGTGCAGGCGCATGTGTGCATCTTGACGGTAGGGTGCAAGGGAGGCACGCAGCTTCGGTGGTGGTTTGGGATTCCGTTTGGGGTGCTGGTTGATTTTCTGGGTGAAGTGTGGTGCTGCTTGGGGTGCTCTTCAGGGTGATTGTGCGGACACATTTTGCTTGATTGACGGTCGGGTTTTGTTTGAGGAGTTCTTCGGGGGTGCTTTTGGAGGTGCTGGTGTGCAAGCACTGCTATCTGGGGTCTATGTTGGTGTATTTATGTTGTTTAACGGGAAATGAAAAGGAAAACCACTCTTGATTTTTTTCTTTGGGGGGTCTCCTGAAGAAAAAAAAACACTCATTTGTAGACGGTTCGAAACACGGTTCGAAACGGCCTTCACACATTGCAAAGAACGTCGGAACCACAGCCTAGCATGCGCTTCAGGTTTGTTAGAAGGCGATACGTTGCCTCTCACCCAGAACGGTTGTCTAAAAGGTGAATGGCACCCTTGCTTTCACTGGATCTTACGCACGCCTAAAAGCCACAAACGTGGTTTTCTCTCATTCCCCCATTTGGAGCTATGCTACACAGACCTCCCATCTCTTTGGGGAGTTCTGCTTGGCCATGACATGAACGATAAGCAGGGGGTCATTGAACATATGAGTGGCCCATCCTTTTTCGGAGTTGGTACCCTTTTGGGGCTAGTCAGGGACTCAAAGGCAAACCACCGTGCTTGGGGGTCTCCTATTTTGAGACAAGCCCATATCCGTCATGTGAGAGGGGGTCGATTTTCAGCTGTCTCCGAAGTGAGTTTCTCCTCAGAGACAGCATGAGCTTTACAGCCATAGGGTGACCTTTTGGAAAAATAGACGGTTTTTCCTGGTGTTTTAAGTGGGGATAAAACCGTTGGAACCCATCATCTGTTTCTAACCAAACTAAACCAAAGAAGACACCTATGAATAAAACTCGTTTGAGTAAAACTTTTTTGGTGCTGCTTCCATGTTTCGAGGGTCCGAACCTGCCAAATAAAATTGCCGGCAATTGGGGGGTGGAATCCACTGAACGGGGGCATTTGACCTATGCTTACAGTTTGATTTTGCTCAGAGACCCGTACTCTCAGGTACACTCAAACCCAGCGAATGTTTTTCTATACTGGGCAAGCTTCAAACAAGCATTGTTGGTATCCTTTTTGGGTTGGTCTAAAGGTGCATGTCCGATTCCTATTGACACAACAGCAAAGTGCACAAACCCGTTTTTGAAGATGTTATACGTTCCTGTTGGCAAGGAAGGACTCTGACCACTTGTGGAGGGAACACCCCGAACAAAAGTGGGCCGGGCTATTATTTTTTCCAGGGGTCAACCTCATTGGAACCCTTGGCGAATCCCCGAAGGGGCCTCGGGCTTTGTCTCAACCCCCAGAACGGGCCTGGGGCTTTGGGGTGTGCTTTTGGCTTCCCAACCCACCCCAGTGATACCCGAAGAAAGGCGCATGACGTCTGACCATCCCTTCCTTGAGGCCAGTGGGGCAAAGGCAGCTCAAACGGCCCCAAAAATTGTTGGGGGGCGGGTTGGGAACCCAAAAGGGGCGGTGTTCAGCCTCAAAAACCCTAGAAATGGCTCGCCTTTTTCTTGGTTGGCACCCTTCTTTGTCTAGCTTTGGAGGAAAACCAAAAGGGAAATCGGTTTGCCATTGTGTGGGCTCAGATTCCCGAAAAAGACGAGCCACCATATGGAGCACCCCAAGTGGTCCCCATTCGGCTCGCGCGGCAAGCGTCGGGCCCCCTTGCGGCTCGCCAGACTCGGACTCTCTTCTTCGCCTATCCATGCAATCGAATCAAGTGTCCCGAAGGCGACCAATCTCAAGTCAGGTGATCCTCCAACACGTCGGCTAAGGTGCAAAGGAGTTATATCTATATATATATATATTATGTATATATATATATATGTCCCCTGAAAAAAATAGGAAACGTGATAATAATAATAATAATAATAGTAATAATAATAATAATAATAATAATAATAATAATAATAATAATAATAATAATAATAATAATAATAATAATAATAACACTAATAGTAATAATATATAGTAATAATAATAATAATAACAATAATAATAATAATAGTAATAATAATAATAATAAATAATAATAATCAAAATACTAATAATAATAGTAGTAATAATAATAATAATATTAATAATAATAGTAATAATAATAATAGTAATAATATATAAACATGATAATAATAATAATAATAGTAATAATATATAGTAATAATAATAATAATAACAATAATAATAATAATAATAGTAATAATAATAATAATAAATAATAATAATCAAAATACTAATAATAATAGTAGTAATAACAATAATAAATAATATAAAGAAAAAAAAAACAGTAGTGAAGTAGATTCGCCTTCAAACCAGCAGGGGGGAAATAATAACAAACAGATTATGCTCAGCAAAGTGAACGTAGGATTACCCGGGCAAGTGGTTTGGCTCTCAGACCTAAAAGCTTTGAGTCCCACTCACTTGACACCTGGAAAGCACAAGGTCAGGACAGGTCGATTCGCGACTGGGGTGAGATTTCACCGGGGGTTGCCTGAGTCCAAACATGCGAACGCAAACATGGAGAAAACCAAAGGTCGGATCAGGTCAATTCGCGACTGGGGCGGGTAAGGAAACTTTGATGGGAGAAGTGAAAAACTCCAGTTGCGAGGTCGCTTGCCCTGAAAGGTGTGCCCAAGTCGAAACGGCTCTTTTGACAAGTCGAAACCGCTTCTGGACATGCGATGCCAGAAAAGGGCATGTGCAGCCAGCGAATGGCAAAATTAATGATTGCTGTCAAATTGTACCAAAAAGGGAACCCAACCTCCAGAATCTGCCCGAGAAATCTGAGTGGCTCATCTTTTTGAAAAAGTAATCCATTCCCCCAGAGCAAGTTGTCTACCCGCCCATTCAAACCCCAATTTCATCCGATAGGACGGCCCAGTGAGGGCAAAAAAGGGGCAGGCAGCCGGCCTCTGGACATTCTCTTCCAGTATCGCCGCCATCTCCTTCTCCCTCTGTGTTGACTCCTGTCAGATCCCTTCCAAACCCCCGGGACACCCCGCTTTGGGTCTGAAGGACTTTCGGTGCTGAGATGCCTGCCTGATGTTCGCTTCCAGGGCTCGGAGGCGTGGACAGGCAAAGGGTCCCCCCCCCTTTTGGGTTTCCAAAGGGAAGTCAAAAGGAAAATCACCATGTTAGGGGTGGAAAGCCCCTTCAAGGAATCCGCTCACCCAACAGAAAGAGGTCGAAAGGGTCGACAACCCACGGGCTTCTCAGAAAGAACCCCTAAAAAGCTGCTCCTCTCGGCGGGCTCCGTTCTTTGTTTAGGGAAACATCCGGGTTGAGTCATGTTGGACACACCAAAGCTTCTTTGCTTCATGTTCGGATGCGTTGATAGCTTGCTGCTAGTTGTTGACTGAGAGTCTATGCCTGGAACCCAAAACAGTTTCATCGAGGATCGAATCCATCAAATGCGGACGTGTCCTATCAAGAATCCTATCTTGGATAGCTTGGAAGGCAAAAAGGTCAACCCGCCACAAAAGGGGTCCTCCTTTGGGGGAACACCCCGGTTTCTGGGTCCCATGTTTAGGCGCAACCCGCTGTATCATTTGTTGTCTGCACCCGCAGGCCTGCAAATTCTTCATTCTCGTCCTCCGCACTTCTTCTATGGCATCTTGGCACGGGATGTTCTTCGTTCCGAAACTGAGGAACCGATCCAACACGTGATGAGTAACTCTGATGCATTGGGACCCCTGACATCTGCAGCGCATTAAGGATATCTATCCCCAGACGTGGTTGATCTTGAGCAGCCCCTTCCACACAGCACTGGGAAAGGGTGCTTTCTGGCAACCAAAGCCGGATCGATCCTCCAATCCGAGA